TATTGTTCTCCAACTGTCCTTGAGCTTTTCTCTTTATCCTGGGTTTCTGGTAGTTGAATACGATGTGTGTATATACGTGCAGGGTTTAGTTTCTCGTGTTTACCCTTCTTGACACTTTCGGAGATTCTTCCGCCTGTGATTTAGTGTCTCTCACTATCTTTGGGGCATTCTCAGGCATCGTGTCTGGGACCGATCCTTCGGTCCTGCTCCCCCTCCTCGGTTGCTCCTGGGGTTCTGGTTACGTGTGTGCCAGAGTGTCGGGCATTTTCCCCACAGCTCCTGCATGTTCTTTTCCACTTTCATTCCCACTCTTCATTTCTTTGAGTTTGTTTGGTAACTTCTGCGGACCTACCTTCAAGTTGGCGGATGTGTTACTCAGTTGCGTTGAGTCTACTGATGAGCTCATCAGCAAGGTGCCTCACTTCTGACATGATTTCTATCTGCAGTATGTCTGTCTGCCTTTCTTCCACTTTTCATCTCTCTGCTGATCCCCCATTTATGGGTGCACGTAGTCCACTTTCCCACCAGGCCTCTTGCTATGTTAGTCAGACATTTGGAGGGTCTCTGATAGCTTCGTTGACCCTGTCCTCACAGTTCTCTGGGTTGCTCTGTCTCTCGAGAGTGGGTTTTACTTCCTTTTACTCTGAATTCAGCTGGAACGCTGGTCATCACATGCAGAACGGCAGAGGCCGAGGTAGGTAGCGTTCGAGCTTGGAGCGGACACACCTCGTGTTCTGCTGGCTGAGATCCCACCACAGCTGCCCATGGCGTGGGGTGCTGGCTCAGTCCACCAATATGATTCTTAGATCTCATACCCATCTGAGCTTATCTTTACATATGAAGTTCTTGAAATAAGTCCTCCTTCCTCTCTAAATTTAAAATGCCGCCTTCCTGGGAGATGACTCAGAGAGGGTCAGAATTATTAGAGCTTTAACTTCTCAATTCAACTAACCAGACCAAAAAAAAAGAAAGAAAGAAAGAAAGTAAAAGAAACAAAACCCTGAAGGCCCCCAAATGAAATCAGTTGGTCTATCTTTCCTAATAATCAAAAATGAATTCTGCAAATCCAGTATCTCTAGTACAAATACACAAGCTCATTTAAAAACCCAGCAAATCGGATTCAGAAATCACTTGAAACTTACCTTTCATGTGTAATAATTTCAGCTGGTGTCCGCATGTGGACAGGGTCTGTCCCAGGCGCGGAGTCTGGCTGTCCTGATGAGTTTGCACAACCACCAAGCACTTTGTGCTGGAAGGCACCGTGACATGTGCGCAGGATTTCGGCTGATGGTTTGTGTTGCATTCTTCTTTTGAGAGTGAAGCCTTTCCCTTACTTGCTATGCTCCTATTCTCAAGAACACAGTGAGGCGAAGGTAGGAGTCCTTATGTGTACAAAAAGGACGTATATTCAATTATTAATGAGAGGATGGGTTTTTTCCTTGGTTAACAGCAGAAAGGCAAGATTGTGTTCAACAGAAGCCCCGCTGCAAGAGGTCAAGCATTTTGAAGGAGAAAATCTGCAGCCTTTACAGAAGGGATTTTATATTTGATGGCTTAAAAGGACTGATAACAGCCAATCAGAGATCCAATTTTCTCCTAGGTCTTTAGCCACACAGATGGAAAAAGAGGTGCTGGTACAGTTCATTTTCTATGAGCATTTATTGTGACAGGGGAGGTGCGTACAATTCCTGAGGTTTTAGTGCGCCAATGTGATAATTCAGAGATAAGAACATAAATCCCTACCTGTCACATTGGAACTAAAGTATAATTACTAGGTTCGTGTTGCTGTTTTATTTGCATTCTTAAATACTGCTGCTAGGAGTTGTCTGTGCATACCAGTGGAACACAAAACCCAGAGGGGGTCAGCAAACGTGAATCCTTATTTTTAGCACCTGAATCAGCCTGTCACCTGGAAACGTCTGTCAGTCGCCCCTCCTGATGAGGTTCTGAGGTGCAGAAGAGGAAAACGCTAAGGGTGCTGTGAGATCGCATGACTTCAATTATATTTTAAATACAACTTGAGAACTACCAGTTTTGTTTCAGAGTCTTTGGGTACGGAATAAACTCTAGAATAATGATGGTCTATTTGTTGTAGTCTGCCACAAATGTCAGATTAAGTTGATTCCAATGGTCCGCACACCTTCTTGCAGCAGTGGTGAGCGTCCCTGGTGCTGAGCGACCACAGGTGGGAGGACCACAGGCAGCAGGGACAGGGGTGAGGTGACGGGCAGGTGCATTGTACAGCTATCTGTCTGTTCTGCAGAACCCGGTCTGCCGACCCCCTTTCAGGTTTCCATGGGCTCCTCTGACCACATGGTGATATTATAATAAAGTACTCCTTCCTTTTCCTGTAATGCCCGCTACTCTCCGCGGGCACGCTCCTGCCATCCTCAGGCAAACACCCTCACTTCGGGCATGGGGTTAGAATCACTACTTTCATTTCAAACCTGTGGTCACTTCTGTGACGTTCTGCACCTCAATTCTCTGAGTTGGGGTTCTGTTGCATAATATGGGCACAGTTATAACTTGCCTCAGTAAATAGTTGAGCTTCTGTGATGTCCTTTAAGATGGAAATGAATGAGATCACATGGAAATGTATAAAATTCTAAACCAATGTAAAATGTGCTTAGACGCTGATAGGCAAGGATAATAACAACTTAGTGGATGTCTCTCCCAGTCACATCACTGGTATTTTCGATATGTTAACCCCAGAGAGTGACTTCTGGGAGATCCATGCACCTGGTAGATCAGCAGAGGGCCCCTGCTGGGCACGGCCCCGGGTGGACACCTCCTGGGGCACTGCTGTCCCCGTTCTATTTTCTCTAGGCACGGTCAGGATTTGGGGGAAAGAATAATTTGCATGCTTACAGACAGAACTCAATGCCCTGACACTTGCTAGAGGGATGAACAGAGTGACAGGTTATGGGAGAAAGGGAGGAACGGCCCAACGGTGGGTCATGCGTGTGGACGGAGCGGATGGCCCGTGGAGGCCACAAGTGGAGGTGGGGCTGCTCTGGACTAGGACCAGTGGCACTCTGATTATTCATTCCCCCAAATTTCACTGGCACTCTGGAACCATCGGTGTGCAAACGCCCCACTTGACTCCCGCACACGGATGGTCAGTATCTGCATTACCAAGTCAAGCGGCCTTGGTGTCTTCATCACTCTGGGGCTTGGGAGGGAACTCCGGCTGTCCTGGGCGACGGACGGTGTGGGTTCCTCAGACGTAAACTCCTAACGCCACCTTGTGAGTACTGCCCCCGGGGCTCCTGGTGCACGGCCCCAGGGGAGTCCGGCTGAGGAGGGATGGCAGGGTCTCCGCTCACTGTGGGGGGACGTGAGCTCACTGCCAGAGGACAGCTCAAGGATGGGTACAGGGGATGCTGCGGAGTGCTCGTCATGGGGGCTGGCGGGAGGGGTGGGGGGGACTGGGTAACACAAGGATCAAGTTCCTGACTCTGAAACTACCGGATCCCTGCTCACCATTAAAACATGGCTTGTTTGTTTGCTTATTTTCTTTTGCATGGTTTGCTTTAAATGTACACAATCAAGGTGGGAATCACAAACTTTCAAAATGTCAGCTCACGTCAGTGGCCATGCGCCCAGGGCTCCCGAGCCCCCAGAGCTGCGGAGACTGCCTGGGTGAGGCTGTCCTCGGGGGGTACGGTCATTCCTAGTGCAACCGTGTGACTTTGCGCCCGGGGGGAGGCCCGCCGCCTGCCTGCTGGGGTGGCGGCTAGGCTGGCATCCGGGCTGTCCCCCTTCTGAAGTCCCACAGGACAGCGTTCGGGTAACACGGGCGACTGCTGGCTCGCGCGCCTCCCGTCCCTGACGTCCCTCCCGCACAGCAGCGCCGTCTCCATCGCGGCTCTGTTCCCAGGGGTCCCTGGAGAGCCCGACCGTCTCTGCGTCAGGCAGAGCAGAGACACGCATGCAGTGACCAGACCGTGGCGGGTGCCCCCGCCCCACGTCCTGTGTGGCATCCCCAATGCGGTCGCCGTGGAATTTAACTGCACCAGGCAACAAAGACACGGTTCGCGTTGGTGAAGAGTAAGTGCGGGCTGCCATTTAAAGTCTGTACCATGGTCCTGCGCGCCGCGGGTAACGACTAACTGGAGGCATTGGGAGAAGTCACGTGGCTTTGCTCGTCACCCTGCGCACTGGGCACAGGAGGGGTGACACAGGGATCCCACCTCGGTCTGGGGCCCCCTGCCCCTGCTCACGGGTTGTGGTGAAGAACTCTGTGAGGCAGCGGCAAGGTGCCAAGAGGCGGATCCCGGGGGTGGAAGCTTCACGTGGGTCAGCGGCCGCTTGCGGGGGGTGAGGCCAGAGAGCTCTCGCATGCAGCGGACCCCTGAACAGCACCGGGGTGCATGGCGTGGGCTCACTTCCGTGTGGGTTGTTTCCCATAAATACAGTGCGGTACCGTGAATGCATTTTCTCTGCCCTAAAACCGTGTGTCGTCCATGGGTCAACCCTACACCCACGCTGAGCTGGTGGGACCAGATACACACAGCAATGCGGGTGTTAAAAGCCCTGTTTTCAGGTTCATATTAATAGCCTATTTCCCAAATGGTTGTCCCTGCTCGTACTTTGGAAAGTAGTCAAATTTATCAGCAACCTATCTTCAGACAACATTATAAAGCCCATGCTTTTGTACTGGTAAAACTAACCCATGCTGTCCCCCCGCCCTGCAAAAGTCCTATTGCCTACGAAAGTTTAGTGAACAAGACACTCCCTATAATGATTTCCACACATGCACACACATTCCCACAAATATGCTCCTGGCAGAACCCACTGCCTTACTGCAGACCACACCGGCTACGCTAGTGGATTTAAGATGAGCTGACGGGGAAACCACCCAAGGAAATAACAAAAGGTCTGTTTTTTCTAAAGGTCTTGAAAACTGATGGCCACAAATGTAATTTTTGCAACTCAGACCCTGAGGGCGGCCATGACGGACCCGGGTCTGGACAGGGAAGACAGGAAGCCGCTCTTACGTTTGGAGGTCTGCCAGTGGCCTGGGTCCGATGGGCTTGAGCAGGGGCTCCGGCCGCATGGCCGCCGTTGGGGACATCTTGGGGCTGGAGTCAGACTCTGCGCTCTCCTCGTCGCCCATGGCTTTGATGTAGCTCCCGCTTCGCATTCTCCTGCAGGGGATCTCCTCGTCCTTGGCACCCGTGGGGTACCCTGCCCACTCGTCTTGAGGCACCTAGGGGAGAACAGACACACGCATGCATCAGGCATCACCGAGAAGCCCAGGGCTCTTCGGGAAGACAGACACTCTGTGGTTCCTGGAAGACACGCTCCTTACGGCCGTTTAACATTTGAAGTGAGGAGCGTTAAGATGGAAGCTTGCTGGCGCTGTCATTCAAATCCTAAAAGGACATTCATGTCCAATTATTGTTTTTTCCCCATTATAAAAGTGATAGATAAACATGGAAAAAGTGACAAAATGTGAGGAATGTCGGAGGAAAAAAACCACTTGTAATCTCAGAACCTAGAAAACAACACTGCTTACATTTTAGATTTATTTCCTTCTGGTATAAAAGTTAATTAAAATGGTCCTTGAGAAGACTGGGGGTGGGGAGAAGAGTTCTCGGGGATGGGGGATAGGATAGCAGCAGAAGGGAGAAGGGGACAGCAGAAGGGAGGACGGGGCTGTGTCCTGGGGCTTCACCCCTGGGGCGGCGGGTACAGGAGCGGGGGAGGCTGGAGGTCGAGGGGTGTCCATGGGCAGAACCCTTGCACTCCATCGCAGACCCAACAGGCCACATGCTGCTGTGCCCAGCAGGCCCCACACGCACCGAGGTGCAGGCTCTGGGTCAGGTTCCCAGCCTGAGGGCTGCTGGGCCCTCAGACCAGGAAGCAGGTCGGCACCTTGGTATTCGCCCACCACACCCAGAACCCGAGCTCCTCACTCGACAACCAGCAAAAGTCACGGGACTAGCACAGAGCCTGCTGCCCCAGTGTTCCCGCTCCATGCCGCCCAGGGTCGGGCGTTCCTCAGCTTTGCAGGCCCCCGGGAGGCTCGGAAGGACCTCGACCCCTTCGGTCAAAGTCACATTTACAAAAGCAGAACCACAGAGCAGGCAGCATCCGGGTGTGGAGAGCCCACAAGGTGCGTGGCCCCGGTCACCCCCAGTGCCGAGGCAAAGGGCCCACACGACACGTTCCTCACGCTGCAGGTGGGGGAGAAAGAAAAGGACAGAATCCCGCACTGAAAACGTCTTCAGGGTTGGCCCGCTCCTGTTGCAGGGTGTTTGGATGCTTACGCATATTCTGTAGAGCACCCCACGGGAATCCTCCGTCCTTCCACTTGGTCAGGCACCCCGCCAGGTTCCGCACGCCGTCTGCACCTTTTACTCCTCTCCTTCAAGCACGTGACCGTAGCACGGCTCTGGCAGACGGACGTCATCCGCGTGGTGGCCGGCACCTCTGCGGTCCTTGTGAACTCTGCCCTTCCAGCCAAGACACACGTGGGGTGTGGCAGGCACGGGCGTCTACGCCCTCGGAAGCCCCGCAGCCCCAGTGGGGCTGGCGTGCATGGATCCTGTCTACACTCTCCCGAGCGGGTCCACACAAGCTCCTGGAACCACAGCAGGACCGTGTGGTGTAGCCGACCCAGAGGCTGTGATGAGGGGTGGGTCTTGAGGGACAGAAGCTTCCAGACTGTCACTGAGCTCTGACGGCGAGTCGCTGCGTGGCGGGGGACTCACGCAGGCCAGTCCTCTCGGCTGCAGAACAGCGGTTGGCTGGGGAGCATCTGCGGCCTTTCCAGTGGGGCGTCGCTGAGCTCCTTGCAGCCTGGCACCCTGTGCGGGAGCAGGCAGGAATGAGGCCACGTCCACAGAGCAGGATATCCGAAGACCCCGGCCTGTTCACGGCCTCTGGCCCCATGACGTGGCTTCTGGGAAGGTGTCCTGAGACCGTCAGATGCGGTGCCAGGGGCTGGTGAATTAAGCTTTACGGTCAAGGAGGAAACTCGGGCAGGGTCCTATAAGAGGCAACTTCAGTACTTATCACAGTCACAAAATGGGTGCTGCTCAGCCCCCAAAAATAATCGCGCAGAAGAATACGTATTTAGCCATGGAAAGAGGTTCAGGGGGGAGAAGGCAATTTTTAAAGTACCGTCTGCACTCCATTTTTTATACTTTAAAAATAGACATGCCTGCATTATGCACAGAAACGCAGCTGGGAGGATGTGGAGCGGGGTCATTGCTGGGAGGGTGATTATGGGCTCCCCGGTCAGTTCTCCTCGTACTTCTGTTTTCTGAATTTTCCACCTGGAGCCTACAGCACTATTGCGAAAGATAATAAACTTATTTTTAATTTAAGAAAAAATCAGTTCTCAATGACAATACTTCTCAGTAGAGGAGACATGAGATGGACTGTGATTTAATTGGGGCAAGAAACACAAGCGCAGAGGGGAAAGCGAGGGGTCAGCGGAAGCTGTGGACAGAGAGGGGCCTGGAGGGGCTTCCTGGAGGCAGGGCCTGGGGTTCTAACTCGCTCGGATTGGCCCACGGGCAGGCACACACGGGCAGAGGCTCCCGGCCCCCGTGGCGCCAAGGAAAGCAGCTCCGGGGAGGAGCCGGGAGGCCAGCCGGGGACAGATGGAGAAGGGCCGTATGCCACAAAGACACATTCCTGTTGGCAGCTTTACGAAATTTCTGTGAATTAAAAACGTTTCCATAAAAGAAACAAAGTCAGCAGCCGGTGAATTAACTAACAAATGAGACTAGCTTGTATTTTTCTGTTTCTGATTTTGGAGCCAATTCACAGTCTCTGACAGAAGAAATTTCAATAGAGAGTGTAAACCGGAGTCAAGTGCAGGGTATGAACCCCGATTCCAAAGCATATGCCTCCAAACCAGCCAAAGAACTGAAGAGCCACACGAAGATGCCACCAGGCCTCAGTCGGTAGATCTTTGCGGTGCGTCACGACGTCAAAACCCTGCCGCGGACGCAATGCCCCGGTTACGGGGGCGCTTTCACCGCCGAATCGCGGGGAACCCTCGGCCGCTGCTGTGGGTCCGCCGGGACCCCTTTCACGCGCCTCGTGCAGAGACAACAAACGAGCTGTTTGGTTAAAGAGAGCAGACATGACCCGTGAGCACGGAAATTGGGAAACGCGGCATTTTTCAGGAGCCCTGCTGTGCACCAGGAGGCTCGGCGCCGTTCACGCCGAGCTTGTACCCGGAGGCTGGCCTCGGCCGCGTGCGGAAGAGCACGCAGCTCCCTGGCTGACTGCGCACTGTCCCCCAGGCTGGTTGAGGCGCCGGCCTGCCGGTTCCGATTGCTTCCCACCGTGTCCGTTCGGAAGTGCTTCCTACGGTGGGCGCCGGACGAGATGCCGACTTCGAGGCAGCAGCATAAAGCTGGGATAAAACCGCAGGGTCGCCAGGACGTCCCTGCGGGCCTCGACCACAGGCCGGGTGAGGACGACCGAGAGGAGAAAGGGGTCGAGGGGGGCCTGCGGCTTGAGGGGCAGTGGGGATGGTGCGGCCGCGGGTTAGGGGCCACGGAGCCAGGGAGCCACGTTCCCGCTGGTGAGGCAGGTGCACCTGCCACGTCGCCCCGCCCCCACCCCCGGGGCTGGTAGGCGCCTCCCGCCCTGGTGTAGCGAGAACTCCCTGAGCTCAGCCGCCGTCAGCCCTCAGCCAGCATGACATTCATTAAAAGTTTGACCTTAGATGCTTTGTCCGCAGAGGGAGAAAACAGGAAAACAAGAGCTGTTTCAGAGAATAAAATGCATCCTAATTTTCTTTCAGTCCTGTCCGTTGTCTGCTCCGACCTCCTTAAACACATGAAAAGCCTTCCTCTGACATGTGCTCTGCGCAAACCGAAGGTGAGGTGACAAGCTGCTCTCCTGCTCAGTCCACAGCTACCTCGCTCCCCATGAGAAAGAAGGCGAATAGAACTCAGAAGCATTGCTTCCTCACTCCATGTCTTTTCAATCTAATTCTTTAGGAGCCACAGACAAATTCCTCTTCTTCCCCATCTTGTGGCCGTAACTAATAGCTGGGCTTGTGCAATCTTCATATTTCTGCAGATTTAAAGCAGTTGGCACGGGAAGACGTGCGTGTGGGCTGGACATGGGTCCGAGATGTCCCAGGACAACCGGCCTGGGGGGACAGGAGCATCGCTTGTGAGGTCGCGGCCATAACTCTTTGCCCAGTGCCCCTCGGTGACAGCGGGGGACGGCGGCACAGCCACTGAGCTGCCTCCCGGCTCACCTCTGCCTTCGTGCGTGTGTGGGTCTGTCCACTGAGACACGGCTCCTCACGGGCCCCATCTGCCTCGCCACCCTCCCATGCATGTGCGTCGGGACTGCATGTCCCGGGCTCTGGAGCTCACGCTTTGCCGGGGGCAGCCCTCCGCCCCCCACTGGAGCTGCCCTCACCGTGTGCGGCCCTGGAGCGCTGGGGAGGCTCTGGGAGGGAAGGTCTCGCAGGGGGAGCTGAGGAGGAGGATGGACCCATGCACAACACGGGGGAGCCCCACGGCTGGGGGCCCCACTGCCACGGACAAGGCACTGTGAAGCCAGCCCAGAGGGAACCAGACCGTGGGACACCGTTCCCCCCAAAACTGGTTCCTCAACAAACAACACACATGCACAAAATTCAAGGAAAGAGAGAAACGAGAGGAGGAACCGGTCGATGGGCTTTTAAGAGCCGGATGAACCCATTTCCATGCAGGTCCCTTATCTGGATCCAGATCCACACAAACTGTTAAAAATAAATTATGAGCAACCAGGAAAGTTGAATGTTGACCAAATCTGGGAAACCACTGCAGGATTATGATTATTCTTAATGTCTGAGGAAGGTTTTGCAGTGATGTTTCCAAGGAAAGAGCCCTTGACGTCCAGGGTGCGTCTTTTAGAGGTAAACCCCGAAGTGCTTACTTGGACGCTGGATTTCCGCCCACATAAGCCACGTGGGAGGTGGGTGAGGTGTGGAGGGGACCAGACCGCCAGGAGCTGAGCCTTCCTGAAAGGGGTGCTGAGTGTGTGCAGTCTTTCTAGTACATGCTTGCCTTTACAGGGGTTCAGATCCTCCATAACTAGAACAAATTAAGAACAGCGGTTGGAAGACAGACACAAGCATGTGTGGTCACGGGGAGAATGGACAGGAGAAGCTCCGGGACGCCCAGCAGCGTGGGGGACATGTGACAGAAGCTGCATCCTGGAAAGGGGCAGGTTCTGCAGGCAGCCCCCCAGGGGCCAAAATACCACAGGGGTAGCTTCCTCGAGAAGCATCCAGGCACAAGCAGAGAAGAGCAAGAGTTTGCTTCTCCAAGCAGGACCTGGGCGCACCCTGAATCTATTTGTCATGTTCCTTTAGATGGGGACCGGTAAACATTTTATATTTCTGTAGAATTAGGGCTTGCTGACTACAAGCAACATTTACATCTCTCCCATTGCCATAAAGAGAATATCTCACCCAGCTACCCATTTGTCCCTTGGAGTAACTCTGCTGTGAAAGCAATTTGGGTAGCGTTTCCCTTCCAGACAGAACTGTTGGCTTCTGGACAATGTACCAGGATGACCCCTGGAGCTTGGCGACCGCCCGCCTCCTGGAAAGGGTCACAGCTGTTGGTGCCGGGAATCGACCGCCTGACAACTCGGCGAGCATTGAGAAGCATCACTCACGCTTGGGCACCTACGAGGGACTGTGAAGTGGAGCACAAATTCTATAGATATCGAAGAAAACCTTCACGCTTGTCAGCTTTGCTAACAGCTCTGGGAGCTCCTAGAAGTCCTAGCAGAGGCGTCCATGAACGAGGCGGGAGCTTCCCCGGCATGCTCAGCCGTGGCGTGGAGGGCAGGCAGAGGCGCGGGGTCACAGGAAGTCACCCCGCAGTACGCTGCGCCCGCCATCCGCCCGCCTCCATTCGTTCCTGCCCTTGGTGGAGTCGGTGAACCCCACCCGGTGGGGACAGGTGCGTGCCGCTCCCTAGCCATGCTCTGCTGTCTCTTAAAGCCTTCGAGCCGCTCCTCTCGGGTCTGGCCAGAGAGATCCTGCAGCCTGTGGGCCACCTCCAAGCGAGGGCTCTCCACCTGGTGGCTGTAGCTACATCCTCCGGCCATGGAGGCACGCGGGAACGGCCCACCGTGCTTAGGGCCGTGGACTAAAGGGGACCGGGGGTGCTCAGAGGCCCTCCCGGAGCAGGCCAGCCCACTGCCCGTGACACTTGGCTGCCAAGACCCCTTACCTGCAGGTAGTGGCATGGCCTCAGGGACGGCTTGACCTCCTGGTGGACCAGGGGCTTATCTAAGTTCAGGGAGCTCTTGCGGTAGGCCTCCTTCGCCTGGCTCACGGTCAGCGTGGACCAGGAGCTCCGTTTCATGTACTTGGTGTCGGGCGTCATGGTCAAGCCCTCACAGGCCGAGCACTTGACGTCACTGTTACTCTTGGACGTCTTCAGGGACAGATCCCCGAAGGGGCCCGGGAGCACCTCGGGGTAGCAGTGGGAGACGTGGTCCATGTGGTGCCTGTTGGCCACACTGGACGTGCGGCAGGTGCTGTCGCTGTCCAGGTTGTCGTCGGAGCTCCACCAGCTGCTCGCGCCCGACCTGTGCTTGCCCTCAGGCTTCCGCTCCTTGCTTTTACTCCGTTTGCTGTGCTTGGGGGGGTGGCCGTGGTGGTGGTCCTCCAGCCGGCTGTCGCCCTTGGTGCCGTTGACGCTGCCCTTGGAAGCGCCCTCCAGGGAGTGGGACTTGGTGAAGAGCTTCTGGACGGAGTGCACGAGGTGCCGGATCCTCCCCGGGCTCTCGTTGCGCTGCTCTGAGGCCGTGGAGGTCCTCTGGTACTGCAGTGTGTGGAAACCGTCCCGATGCAGAGGAAGCTGCTTCTCAAACTGGTCCAGAAGGTTGGCGGGGATGCGGTTGGCCCTGGTGCTGGTGTGGGACGCGGCACAGTCGTCTCTCGTGTCATAGTGGGAGCTGTAGTGCATCCTGGGGAAGGTGCTGCTGGACATGTGCTCGCCCAGCACCATGGGCATCATCATGCACTCGGAGTGGACGGAGCTCCCGGGGGAGCAGCGGCGGTGGTCCATGGGGCAGCTCTCCACGGGGCTGAGCAGGTAGGACTGCCTCGCCTCCTGCCCATGGTGCAGGTGCTCGTGCTCGCAGTCTTCGGGGGCCGCCAAGCCACACGTGTGGCCTGAACACAGCTGCGCCTGAGTCCGGCCCCCGGGTAGCCCCTTCATGTTCCTAGGAGCGGGGGAGTATCTTCCTTCGTTGAAGTGCTGTGTCGGGGACCATGAGTACTGCTGGTCTGTTGAGAGAGCACAGAAAGCCATTTAAGACGAGGTGGGGCTACCAACCAAACCCTTACTTATGTGTGAGACACCCCACGCGGGAATTATTTTAGCCGGTGATCAGGGGTCATTTTGGGGCATTTGAGTGGGTACTTATTTTTTTTTATATACCACATTGACTGCTCCGAAGTACGAGCCTATTAAGAAGCATAGACTCTGATATTCCCAAATGTTGTTCTACAAGTACAAACACAGATTGTGGAGTCGATTCGATTCATCGGGTCTCGGGACAGCAAGACTTTGTGGTATTCAACAAATACACAGTTTGCAGGGAAAATGAGTTACATTTCAATCAGATTGGAGTAGCGCAGCTCCAGTTAAGAAGTTTACAAAGTAACATCTCCTGTTTACTTAGTAACATTCCTCGGGATGCCAATGTGCTACACGGCAACATATTAATCCTGAAGGAGTCCAAAGCCGCTGCTCGCCTCCCAGCAAGAGAGGAGGTGGCTTTCTCGAGGCCATCTGGCTGTCAAGACGAGGACTAAACCAGGACGTCCTGGCCTTTCATTACAGATACTTGCTTTTGAACAGTAAGATTTTATCCAGTACAGAACAAATGGTTTGGTTCTGTGAGACGCAATATTGTGCACAGATACATCGTTAGGGGAAACCCTCTCGGAGGGCGCTGGGTTCTTGCTAGGGAGGCGGCTGAGTGCAGTGTGAGATGCTGACACCCAGACACGGGCTTGTTGGGGTTCAGGCCCCAGTTCTGCCACCACGTGGTGTGCGACTCCAAGGGTCGGGCAGGCGGGCCCGCTGCGCTCGTTGGGCTCTGTATGTGACGGGGAGGCAGGACCCTGGCTCAGCACCAGGCAGGGCTCCCGGACGACCACACTCGCAAGCGTTCTTCCTTGTCTTTGCCATTATTATGGTAATTATCACCCTTTCAAACTGCCTTGGGTCAGCATCTGCAAAGCTCTGGGTTTATTAAACCCAAGTGATTGGACTCCAGGATTCCTTACAGAAACCCCTGGCTTCACCCCTGTTTCCTGCTGACTCACGTTTTCTGTTTCAGACCCAATTCAGAGCTTGCTTCCAAAGGTCGCCGAGCGGATGCAGGGAATAGAGACTCTGTTACACTATACGACATACATCTATGCATATCTTGTATATAATATGCATATTATACATACGGGAAATAAAGACTCTATTATAGTAATATGCATATATTATGCATGTATATATAATATGCATATAACCTATGCAGGGAATTCAAACTCTACTACAATATATAATGTGCATAGATAATATGTATATGTAATGAATCTGTCCATATGCAATAAATGTGTATAATGTATACATGACATATGTAAGAAACACACTCTATGACAGTATATAACATGCATAAATAGTATGTATATATAATGCATATATTCATATATGAAATACACAAATAGCATATAATATGCATATTATTTACACAGGAAATACAGACTCTGGTCTATAATGTGCCTATACAGTGTATATGATGTATCCATCCATATATGTATATAATGTGTATGTAATACATGCAGGAAATGCAGACTCTATTGCAGTACATGATGTCCACGTATAGTATGTATATATAATGTGTATATCCATATGATGTGCACATATACTATACAATACGCATATAATATATGTAGGAAACACAGATGCGGAAGCCGACTCCCACAGGAAACAGGTGGGAGAACCATGAGAATGAGCACCCAGGGAAGAGCCTATCGGGTGGGCCCAGCTAGCATCTGAGGGCTCCAGCCTCTTCCCCAGGCTGGAACTGCACAGACAGCACTCTGTTCCTGGAAAATGGAGACCAGCTAGCTCCCCGGATGGACCGGGGCTGCGTCCCACTCCACAGCCCACACCACCTTCCCACAAGGACCACTGAGGCTGCTGAGTCTTGACACTGGACCCCGGGGTGTCCTGGAAGGGCTTGGCAGGTGCCAGGAAGCATGGAGGCAGAGCTACCGGTGTTCCCAATGGCTCTGCCCTCCCAGGCCCTGCACATGCTCCCACCTTCTTCTCTGCCCCCCCTTCCTTCACCCCAGGCCCCTGCCCTGGCTGAGACCCTGAGTCCTCGCCCCAGCAGGAACTACATTCCTTCCCCGCGCCCCCGCACACCCCAGCCAGTTCCTCCCTGCTCAAAGGCTCACCAGCTTACCACGGAGTCCTCATTCCTCAGCCTGCATCCAAGGCTGCCCCTGGGATGGCTAGCTCAGTGATGACTGTGTACCAGCTCAGAGCACATGCTCGACGCCATGTGCTGACCCGGTGAGCAGACCAGGCCCTGACCCCAGCCCCTACTGCACACATCCTAGTTCCCGGTGAAGCGAGCTGCTTTAACCAAATGGAACAACCCCTGTTTCTAATAATTGCTCTGTGGGCTCCTTCCCAGGCAGCATTTATTCTGTAGGACCCCACTCCAAGGCAATCCAGCCTCAGTTCAGGCAACGCCAGGAGAGAGAGCGTCCACTAGGCACTGTCCTGGAGGCTGGGGTCCAGGCAGGCTGTGAGTCGGACTCACAAGGCCCCTGTGCACCCCTTCCTCAGCAAGGAAGCTGTCTGCTGCCCCTTGCTGCCACACTGGCCTCTCCCCCCCTCAGTTCAGGCCAGTTAACCAGCCCCACCCACCTGCCCTCCATCCCCCTCACCTGAGAGCTGTCACCTGCCCTGTGGGGTCAGGGACACTTGGAGCTCAGAGGGCCACCCACCCTGGACCCCATAGCCGACTCCAAATGCACACCTAGGGCGATCGTGGGAAACAGGAAAGAAACGCAGGAGACACCAGGCTTCTCCCAGATTCTTTCTAACCAAGTCTCGTGGTGATCGACATAAGGAAACATCATCTCCTGCCAAACACCTGCCAAATGACTGGTCCAAGACATGGGTTCAAAAGGTCTCCCTCGCAGGCTCCGGACTGCCACCTGTCCAGGCCAGCTCACACACTGACATAGCTTACAAGGTATGGGAACAATCTCACTGATCCCTGAGGTGTTAGGGGCAGGACTTGTCCCCCCGGGAGCAAAGGACAGCGGCAGAGACTGTGGACTCCGAGCACGGGTGGGGCTGTCTCCTTCTAAGGGCAGCACAGAGACCACTCCTGCATGTCCTCACAATGAACAGCCTCCACCACAGGGACCCTTATCTCCAAAGACAGCCTAACTTCACTAGTGTGTGGGGCTCCCCCGTGAGAGCTCCCCGGTGTGTTCCTTCCTCCACAGCCAAATTATAACTAGAGCACTTTAATATATTAGGAGGGGATATTTTAGATTATATTATATTTTAATATAATTAAAAGCAAGTTTTCAAAGGAAATTCAATATCCAGCTGATACATAGCAAAACTATGTGCTGTAATCTAGACTTTACAGCAGCATAAAGTTGTCACCCTATTATCTTTTGCTTTATTTTTCCATTAACATGTAATTTAATACAATTCTAATCTTATCCATATTAAAAAGCGAGACCATTATTGCTCCACTCACGTATCCTATTTCTGCCTAATGTTTAGCCTAGAAGCTACATTATGAATGTGGTTACATAAAAGAACAGTACAAAAGATAAAAGTTTAGCTGAAATGAATTAAATTTGATTATGCAACGCTTCGGGGGCACATTCTCCTTTCTACCCTACAGGACCGAGCGCCCTGATGTATGCGTGCATTGCCTCTGAAAAATAGTACCACTAATAACAACAAACATGAAAATAAGCCCTGTAAATCACGGCAATTCTAAAACGTGTCATAGGGACCTGGACTGTAGGAGGTTTTTGTTAAGTCTACGTAACATAGAATAAATACTTAGGGGCTGGCAGTTTCTCTCTGTGGAAGTGGGTGACAGACACCAAATGTGGAAGGCACCGAACATCCCTGATTTCCAGCTACTCAGGACACCGTATTTTGTTTTGAAGCAAGAAAAAAACAGCAATAATACTCATTATCCATTAACTGTCTCCCCGAATTCAAGCTAGAATGCAAAGGTACATTTTACTGTTGGATTTCACAGACTGTTGGCATTCTTATTCTAAAAAGTATATTTTGAGCATAGGGATAAGAACTTAAAAAATACACGAACGTGTCTGGAGCGGTCTGTGCACGTGGGCGCTGTGCGTCGGGAGGCAGCGCTTGCCCGCTCCCCGCGGAGGAAGCCCGGGCTGAAGGGCAGGCGGGGGAAGGTCCCTGAGGTGGCCCACTCACACCTGCCCGGACACACGCATGCACACGGCCTCAGAGCTGCAGAGAGCCAAGCATGCAGCCCCCTTGCTGCCAACACCAGCTGCTGCAGGCTGGGGGCGGGGTGTGTGGGGCCCCTGTGCCCTTCCTCACTAAACTACACTGGTGGCTCCACACTAGGCCCTCGCCTGAGCCCACCAGGCGGGGCACACACTGTGGCAAGGGACCCAGGCCCCAGTTTTTGAGAAAGCGTGGAAGTGCGCGTGCACCCTAGCCTTGGAGGAAGAGACAGCGTGGGCGCAGGTGCCGTGCTCCCCTCCCCCACGGCGGGCACCCTGAGGTCCCGCCCCACTGAGGACACCAGCTGTGTCTCCCTTGCCTGAGGCTCACCTAACCCAGGTGAGCCCCCCGTCTGCACTTCCTTTTTTAAATTTTTTATTTATTTTTTGAATATCCTTGTTTTTTAAAATTTATTTAAAATCAATTAATTCAGGGGCGCCTGGGTGGCTCAGTTGGTTAAGCGACTGCCTTCGGCTCAGGTCATGATCCTGGAGTCACAGGATCGAGTCCTGCATCGGGCTCCCTGCTCGGCAGGGAGTCTGCTTCTCCCTCTG